ACACACACACACACACACACACACACACACACACACATACACACATTTTAACCAAGAGCTTTTGGACTTAGCATTTCAGGTACAGAATTAGGCAAATATAAATAATGGTGCTCGTGGAGGGTAGTGGTGAGGAATGGGGGGACATGAGTCACAAGCCCCCCTAAAATCACCCTACAAGGTAACAACTTATTCCATCAAGCCCAAAGTCAGCACCATTTCTTTCTAGGTGAATGGTAATTTGCAAAAATCTTTCAAACTATTCACTTTTTCTGGCTCTCTCCATTCTTTGAAGGGATGGGTAACTATGGGTGCAGAATGCTGTATATACTAACAAATGGAGTCACTTTGTTGTTTGGTTTTGCTTGCCTGCTTTTCTTTCTTACAAGGCTCAGCTCATTGGGGGTGGGTGGGCACAGTGAATTCAGAAATGGTTGTGATGGAAGAATAAAAGGCATCACTAAAACCTTGAATAAAAATATGCTTGTAAAGTCATTCAAAGGACAGATTTTTTTTTTAACAAGCCACATTTTATTATACCAATTTTACACACCAAAAATAAATGAAAAGCAGACATGTCTAAATTCTCTTACTGATTCTCTTGAAGACAACATCACCCAAGGTCAAGGTCTGAAAGCCAAGAAGAAATCCAGTGTTAATCTTTCCTGGAATGTGTTCTATAGCTGAAGAAGAGTATATTGGCATGTCATAGCTGTCAATGACCCCAACATGTTAGAAATATTAGAGGTAGGTTTGACAACCTTTCTGGGTTTCTGTATGGATTCTCCATGCTTCCTGAGGGAACCCTGGGGAAGGTTGGCTTTGGGGTCTTCTAGGGCCCCATTTAAAAATACAAATATTCCCAGCAAGGTTCACAGTGTAAGGATGACAGAGATGCCAACTGGAAAAGGTTTAATGCCTGAAGGGGGATTAGCAGGAATGGGGTTAGAGGATTAGGTGACCGGGGGTGGAGGGATGATAACATCATGGATTTTTAGCTGAAAGGGGCCTTAGGGTTCACCCACGCAACTCCCTGGGAGTCTGCCATAAATGTTACATGCTGCTTTACACAGGGTGTTGGGCAATAATTCCTCCCCTCTCTCCTCCCCCATCCCTGCTGTCCTCCATGTCTTTCCCTCCTCCCCTCTTTCCTTCCTCTTCCCTACTGTCCTCCATCCCCTCACCTGTCTTTCTCTCATCCCTTCTTCCCCTCTTCCCCTGTTTCCCTGCTGTCTTTCATCTTACCTATCTTTCTTTCATCTTCTCTTCCCTCCCTCCTCTCTACTGTCCTCCATCTTTTCACCTATCTTTCCCTCATCCCCTCTTCCCTCCTCCTCGAGAGCAGACACCGTCTCCCTGGTTCTATTTGTAGCCCCAGTATTTGACACTTAGTAGGTGTTCACGAAATGCTTTTTGGATCCATCCCCCACAACCAAGCAGAAAGAGAAACACCGGATCACTCACGCTGATGAGTGTGTCTCCATTGAGTTCAATGACAGAGTTGATTCCTTTGAAAGTTGTCACCAGCTTGTTACTTCCTTGTAGATTCACTACAGCCTGTAGGGAGACAGAAGGATTAGCTCTGGGAAGCCCTAGGGACTGGGGGTGAGCCAGGGATGCACTGGTAAATGTTTAACAACTGGTTTTCTGGAGGGAAAAAAATGTACACACAAATTTTCATTGTAATCTGTATTATTAATATTTGAGTATAATTTGCATTGTTAACACTTTCTCCATCACTTTAAAGTAGGCAATCAATGAAACAATAAATCAATCCTTGATTTGTAGTGTTTGCTATTTTCTGAGGGGTAGATGCTCACACTTAAAATTTAACTATTGGCTCTCTCCTGCCAGTTTGAGCTGTCTCACACACCCCTGGGGTAAGTGCCCAAGCCAGATTCCCTGCAGAACTCCTTGTTTCTATACTTCACTGGCTGGACTGTTTTCTAATTCTAAACCTTTTCCTTTCTTTTCCTTCTCTCCCCTTCTCTCTTCTCTTCCTTTTGCTGTCTATGAATCAGTCAATAAATATTTATTAAACGCCTATGATGTGTCACATTGTGCTAAGTACTGAAGACAATCCCTGCTCTCAGGGAGCTTACAATCTAATGGGGGAAACAAATATGTACAAACAAGTCATAGACTGGATAAGTCGGAAATAATTAACAGAAGGAAGGCACTAGAACTGAGGGACTGGGGAAGGTTTCTTGTAGAAAAGTGGGGAGAGATTATGGTTGGGACTTTAAGGAAGCCGGCAGGGTCAGCAGTCTGAGCGGAGGAGGGAGAGCGTTCCAGGCACGGGGGATAGCCAGAGAGAATGCTGGAGCTGAGAGACGGAGGGTCTGGTTTGAGGAACATCTGGGAAGCCGGAGTCACTGGATGGAAGAGTATGTGTCAGGGAGTAAGGTGTGAGAAGACTGAAAAGGTAGGAGGGGGCTGGGTTATGAAGGAAACAAGTCAGTTACTGAACACAGCCAATGTGGGTTAGAGGTACCGCTTCAGGGCTGGTCCTCTATCCCATATTCCACCAGAGTGCTTTTCATCTAATCTACCTATCTTGCAACATATTGACTAACAGAGATATTTTTGTGTCTTATCTCCCTAGGAGAGGGCAAGCTTCCTCCAGGGATTACCAACTAATCTTTACATCTCCTCCAGAATTTAACCCAGAGCCTAACAGGTGGCACCTTAATGAATAACATGTCCCTAAATTGAATTAAGTTATATTCTTACCTTGACCTTGTCTCCACTCAGAGTGTTCAGCTGACACTCCTCGCCCAGGGTGAACTCGTTCACCAGGACTTTGTTACCACTAGTTATGGTGAGCTTGAAGTGATTTCCATTTTGTACAATTTCGGACACTCCCTTGACATCCTTTCCCTTCTGTATGACGTCATCAGGTAAACCTGGTTTATACAGTAAAGATTCAGACCTAGAAGGCATCTAAGAGCCAAATGATCTCATTTGGGTCTCGTGACAGCCCTGGGAGGTAGGAACTATTATTATCCCCATTTTCCAGATGAGGAAACCCGAGGTTCAGAACAGTGAGATGATGCAATCCATGTCACCGAATGAATTAGGAGCAGAGCCAGGGCGTTCTTCACCCTGACACCCAATCCAGGCTCCCGAATGCCTGCCCAGAGTCTCACTAGTTGGATTATTTCACTTGCTGCCGATTCCCTTTAAGTATTTTAAGTTTATCCCTTTCTGGCAACCGCCAGTATAATGTCCCCTCCCCTTTGATCCCAACATTCAATGCCCAAAGACTGTTTTCTTAAGCACTTACCAGCAGCCTTCATGAAGGCTTCAAAATTCTCTTGGGACTGGACCTGGTACTTTCCTGAGAAGCTCATGGTGGAGGAATGTCCTCTCAAAACACTGGCTGGGAGAGAAGGTGCCTGGCCTGGCCCTGAGGGGCTGGTTTTATAGGGGGCTCGTTCCCTTCAAATGTTGGTCAGAGGTTATCGGTTGGAAGTTTTATGGTTCTGCTCAATCATTAACTCCTTGGGAGCAATGGTCAGCAAAAAAGGATAAGGTAGGCATAGTGGCAGTTAATTGGAGTGCCTGGTCACTTGGTACAGGAGCAGGGGGTGATCTATGCAACTGTCCAGACTGTCTGAGGCTGGGAGGGGAGGACGGTGGCCACGGGCATAAGCAGGGGAAAATAATGAGGTCCTTTTGCTTTGTGGCAACAAGAAGAAATATTATCAATGTGACACTTTTTTATTACATCGTGCTTTCCCATGCATTAGCTCATTTGATTCTTACAAGTATCCTATAGGGTAGGTGATCGAATTATAGTTGCCCCAATTTTACAGATGAGGAAACCAAGGTTTGTCAAGGTCACACAACCTGTAAAACACTGAGCTGGGGTGGATTTCCAGGGATTTCTGAGGCTCATCTTGTCATTTTTCACCTACAGGACTTTGCATAAAACAGGGTACTGGATTTGAAGCCAGAGCTCACTGCAAGAAGCTTATGTTTTACTGTGTGTGTGTGTGTGTGTGCGCGCTGTCATGTGTATGTGTATGTATGTGTATAGGAGGGGGGAGTGTTCATTTTTATCTCTGTCTCCTCAGTGTATATCACACAACAGACGTTTGATAAATGTTTGCTGAATGGAATGCAACCTGAGTTATTCTTTCGTAGTTTAGGATTTTTACTTTCATTTTCTCAGAGCTTAGCACAGACCCCTAAACTGAACTTTTTGTTGTTCCTTCATTTTCAGTTATGTCTGACTCTTTGTGACCCCAATTCAAGGTTTTCTTGGCAAAGATACTGGAATGGTTTGTTATTTCCTTCTCCAGCTCATTTGACATGTGAGGAAACTGAGGCAAACAGGGTTAAGTGACTTGCTCAGGGTCACACAGGTAGGACATGTCTGAGGTCTTATTTAACTCCAGGCCAGGTGCGCTACGCACTATGGCGCTACCTAGCTGCCCAACGACTACACTAGGGGCATTTTTCAAATGTGGTGATTCTGTAGTCCCAACATCATACTGTCCTTCACTCCGTGTGCACTCCCCTATGTCCTACTGAAACAAAATTTCATTTCATCTCAGAGCTATAACTGCAAAGAAAGCGACATGTGAGAATCTATAAATGGGACTTTGCCTTTTTAAGACCAATGAAGGAATCAGAAAGGAAGATGACACAGCAGTGTGATTGTGAACTCTAATTATCAATTGAGTACCAAGTACTTGATATTCTCTAAGCTGCTAGGAAGCCCTTTTTATTTTTTTAATTAAAATTCATTTTTGTTTATTTATTGAGGACGGGTCTCCCTATATCTCTCAGGCTAGGAGCATAGCAACCACTCACTCAGGACCCCAATCCTGATCAGTTCATCTGCTTTGTGTCTCTGACCTTGGCCAATTTACCCCTTGTTAGGCAACCTGGGAGCTGGGGGTATTGGTGCCAAACTTAGCAGCTCAGAACTCCTGAACACCAGCCATTTACCAGCCTCCACCTCCTCAACCTCCTCACCATCAGGGACTATAAGCATTTATCACTGCCCACAGAAAAAAAGGTGAGGGAGGGAGCATTGTTGCCAATCTGGACCAGGACCAGGGACAGAGGTGAAGGGGCCATAACCCCACTGGCTTACAGACACTGGCCAGCGTAGAAGGAGTAAGGCAGAGAGGAATCAGAGGTAGAAAACCCAGGTACCACTATGACAGTCAGTCCCATGTCTGCCTGAGGTGTGTTTCATCAGTGATGATGCTTTTTCAAAGGTTCCTCTTTATTCAGAAAGCTGCCCTTGCTTGTCTTATAGCAGACCAGGAGCACTCACACCAAAACAGAGACAGGTAGATGGATTAGAGGGATGTAGGAACAAATGTCATTTGTCATTCGAGGGCTAAGTCAAGAGCGAGATGCTACATACAGCCTAGATGCTCTGAACACCATCTCATGTCCTTGTGTTAGTCTTCACATTCCTTTGTTTCTCTTGGCCTTCTGACCCTGCTATCCAGCCCCTCCCAATGAAGACTTTCTCCTCTGTTTGGCTTCCACAATGCTCTTATCCTGGTTCTTGTATCTTTCTGACCTCTCCTTCTCAGTCTCCTTTCCTGACTCATCAATAATCTGCCAATCCCTAAGTGTTGGTTTTTCCCCAAGGTCCTTTTCTTCTTGTCTTCTTTCTCTCCACTCTATTTCAGTGATCCTAATCGATTGTGTGTCTAATAATTTTCTCTTTACTGTTGATATGCAAGTCTATCCTTCTAACCCTAAATTCTCTCCTTAATTCTTGTCTGACATCTCCAACTGCCCGTTGGATATTTCTGTCTCAGTGACCTGCTGGCACATAGAATCACATATTCTAGAAAGGACCTTAGACAGCATTATATCCACTTTTTCCTTTAATGCATGAGGAAATTGAGGTCCAGAGAGATTAAGTAGACAGCTAAGTGACACCGTGGATGGATTACTGGACTTGGAGTCAGGAAGGCCTGAGTTCAAATACTGCCCCTGACATTAACTAGCTGTGTAACCCTGGACAAGTCACTTAATTTCTCTGAGCCTCAGTTTCCTGATCTGCAAAATGGGGATAATAATAATAGTACCTACCTCACAGAGTTATTGTGAGGACAAAATGAGACAACATAAAGTGCTTTGCAAACATTAAAATGCTATATAAATGCTAGCTATTTTCTTTATTATTAAATGACTTGCCCAGATTCATAGGGCTAGTAAATATCTGATGTGGGAGTTGAGCTCAAATCCATATCCATGTTCAGTCCACTGCACCAGGCTGCATCAAATTCAGTGCCTCCAAAACAGAATTCATCTTCTCCACTAAACTCATCCTTCCCCCAAACTTCCCTTCTTCTATTGAGGACAACCAGCCAACCTGATTCAGAATCTCAGTCTTCTTCTCTCCGTCCCTCTCAGCCTCCATGTCCAATTCACCCCTAAGTCCTGTTGATTTCAGCTCCACAGAATCTCTCAAATCTCTCCCCTTTTTTCCACCCAAACTCTCACGTCCTTATCACCTCTTGGAGTAGCCTCCTAAGTGGTCTCTCTTCTTTCAAGAAGGCTCTCTCTTCTTGAATCTATTCTTTACCCAGATGCCAAAATAATCTTTCTGTGACCAAAGCATGACCACGTCACTTCTGCACTCAAAAATTTTCAGTGGCTTCCCATTGTCTGCAGGATAAAATGCAAATTCACTCTTCAACCTGGCATTGAAGGTTCACACTAGAAATGAGATAATCATCATGACTAGCATGAAGTTGGTATTTAATATAAGCACAGAGATACTAAGAAAGGAAACAAGCATTTATAAAACACTGTGCCAGGCACAGTGCTAAGTGCTTTACAAGTATTATCTCATTTGATCTTCAGACCAGCTCTGGAATGTAGGTGTTATTATTGTCCTCATTCTATAGATGAGGAAACTGAGGCAGACAGAGGTTACGTGATTTGCCCAGAGTCACACAGCTAGGGAGTGTCTGAGGTCAAATCTGAATTCAAGTCTTCCTAACTCCAGATCCAGTGCTCTATCCACTGAGCCATCTAGCCCAGATGAACAATATCTTCTGGTGCCGAAAGAAGTGGTAGATATGATTGCCAGTGATATCTGAAAGATCATGGAAGATGGCAATGACTTACAAGGTTGGAAAGGGGAAAATGTTGTCCAGATTTTCAAGAAAGTGATGACATTCGAGTCTTCAAATTATAGGTCAGTGAGCTTGGCTTCAATTCCTGGGAAAATTCTAGAGAGGATGATAAAAGATCAGCCAACATCTGGAGAGGGAAGTGGTAATTACAAAGAACCAGCCTGGCTTCATCCAGAATGCCACTGGCCCCATTAACTTCATTGTTTCTTTTGACAGGATTACTCAAATTGTCTTTGGGGGGAAATGCTATGGATAAAGTTTTCCTAGATTTTAGCAAAACTTGTAAGGAATCTCATACTATTCTCATGGAGAAGGTGGAGAGACATGGAATAGATAATTACTTAGTCAGATGGATCCAGAAATCACTGGATGACTAGACTGAAAGATTAGCTATTAGTGGTTCAATACCAACATGGTGGCAGATCTCTAGGGGAGGGAGGGCATAAGCATTTGTCAGTCATAGCCAACTCTTCGTGACCCCATGGGCCATAGCACACCAATACTGTCCATGGGATTTTCTTGGCAAAGATACTAGAATGCTTTGCCACTTCCTTCTCCCATGGATTAAGGCAAACAGAAATTAAGTGACTTGCCTAGGATCAAATAGTGTGTCTGAGGCAGAATTTGAACTCAGGTCTTTCTGATTCCAGACCCAGTACTCTACCCACTGAACAATCTGATTTACCCATAAACATTTATATAACACCTACCATATGCCATGCACTGTGCTAAGCATTTTACAGATGTTATTTCATTCAATCTATGCAACAACACTGAGAGGGAAGTGCTATTATTATTTCCATTTTACAGTTGAGGAAACTGAGGCAAACAGGGGTGAAGCAACTTGACACAGCTAGTAAGTGTCTGAGTCTAGATTTAAATGCAAGTTTTCCTGACCCCAGATTCAGGGCCCTATCCACTGTGCTACCTAGCTGGCCTTCATAGAATACCCCAGGGTTCTGAGCTTGGTCCTGGGCTGATTTTAATCAGTGATCTGCATAAAGGCACAGATTAGATGCCCATCAAATTTACAGATGACATAAAATGGGGATGGGTCTGGGAGGAAGGGGGCAGATAACTAACATATCAGATGATAGAATCCAAAAAGATCTTGATAGGCTAGACCATTGGGCTGAATCTAATGACATGAAATCTAACAGAGATCAATGTAAAGTCCTACACTTGGGTACAAAAAATCAATTTCCTAAGTATACAAGGGGAAGGCACAGTTAGAAAGCTGTTGCTCTGAAAAAGTAATAGGGGTTTTAGTGGACCACAAGCTTAACATAAATGCAAACTTTGGGCTCCA